GACGACGCTGCGGGAGACGGTGGGGCTCGGGGCTGGGGGGGGAGGATGTCCCTGTCCCCGTCCCCGTCCCTGTCCCTTCCCATGCCCCTGTCCCTGTCCCCGTGTCCCCATCCCGGTCCCTGTCCCGTCGCCGAGCTGTCGTGGTGACGGTCCCCGAGTGTCCCACACTGGTGAGTCCCCGCCATGGCCACATCGTGGGACGGTGACAGTCCCCAGGGTCCCCAGTAGTGACCCCCGTGGCTGTGGGACAATGACAATCCCCAGGGTCCCCCAGCAGTGTCCCTGAGGCCGTGGGATGGTGACAGTCCCCAGGGTCCGCCAGTAGTGACCCCCATGGCCGTGGGACGGTGACCATCCCCAGGGTCCCCCAGCAGTGTCCCCCATGGCCGTGGGACGGTGACCATCCCCAGGGTCCCCCAGCAGTGTCCCCCGTGGCCATGGGATGGTGGCAGTCCCCAGGGCCCCCCCAAGGCCGTACCACAGGTCGGTGCCATGTGCTGGTGACAGTCCCTGTTGTCCCCAGGCCCCCTGGCGCTGGGCCCCTGCCATGGCCCAGCTGAGCCGGCCGCGGGCCATGGTGACACCTCGGAGGTCTGCGGGCTGTGCCACAGCCCCCACCGGGGCTGGGCACAGGCCAACGGCACACTGGGTGCCAGCATCACCCTGGGGTGCCCCTTGGTGGGTGCCCCCCTGGGCCAGCTGCGGGCCATGCACTGGCACTTCTGGGGTGACCCCGTGGGCCCCAGTGCTGCCATCTGCAGCCAGAGCTGTGGCCACCCCCACTGCGGCCCACCCTACTGCAACTGCACCGCGCTGCCGGCACCCACTGACACCCCAGGGGTGCTGGTCCTGCGGCGCCTGCGGGATGAGGACGCTGGCACCTACACCTGCCTGCTGCTGGGCGAGGACGACTGTGCCTGCGGGGAGGTGATGCTGCTCCTCAGCGGCGGTGAGCCCCTCACCCTGGCGTCGGGGCTGCGGGGATGGTGGGAGCCCCTCACCCTGGCATTGGGGCTATGGGGATAGTGGGTGGTGGGAGCCCCTCACCCTGGTGTCGGGGCTGTGGGTGCTGTGGGGATGGTGGGTAGTGGGAGCCCCTCACCCCGGCTTCGGGGCTGCAGGGATGGTGGATGCTGGGAGCCCCTCACCCTGGCATTGGGGCTGTGGGGATGGTGGG